TGGCCATCTAACCTAAATCTACAGTATTGACAAAATTGAACTGGCAGAGACGTCCACCAGCCACTAGAGACTTCAAGCCTTCTTGTCATTCTTGATATGGCCTAGGAAGCAAATACATTACAACAGAAGAATGAGTGATCAGATCATGGATTCAGGGTGGGAGACCATCTACTCCAGCCCCCTTACTGTACTCATTTTAGAATTGACAAAACTAAGTCTCATTTCAACAAATAATTCACCCTATAGATGTGAATTTATTTGCTCATGATCACACAGGGAGCAAATGTAGCAGAGCCAGGATTCAAAATCAGATCCTCTGATATCAAGACAAATCCTCTTTCTATTGTGCCACGGAATGAATCACTGGGTCTGTTCAGAGTCCTCTTTCCTGAGGTTTGATTCTAAAGAATACATGTAGTGATAAGAATTATAATTGGTCAACTAACCAAACAATCAATCAACAAGTATTTATTTAGCACTTACTATATTCCAGCAATGTGCTAAGTATGGAAGACACAAAGAAAAAAGTAAAAATACCCCCTGGATTCAAGGAGATTTCTAATGGAGGAGTTTACATGTCAGCTGTTATAATGATAAAACTAGCTACCATTTACCTAGAGCTTTAAGGTTTGCAAAGCACTTTACATATATCTCATTTGATCCTCATAATAAGCCCAGCATGTAGGTGCAATTATTATCCCTGTTTCACAAATGAGAGAACTGAGGCACACCAAGGTCAAGTGACTTGCCTGGGTTCACACAGCTAAGAAGTATTTGAAATGGAATTTTAATTCAGGTCTCTTGATTCCAAGTTCATTGCTCTATTATTATGGTTACTATTATTAACAAAATCTGCATGGAAATATAGTCATATAATAACATATAGCTCCCCTCATCTTCAAAAAATTACTTTCCATTTACTTTGTATATGTTTCATACTTCTTTATTATCTACTGTGTATATGTTTTTTTTTTCTCCCCCAGTAGAATGTAAGCTCCTTGAGGGTATGAATTGGTTTATTTTTCTCCTTATATCTCCAGTGTCTAACACAACATCTGACACATAGTAGGTGCTTAATACATTTACTGAATTGAATCAAACTTATTCTTGTCTAGATATAAAACTAGGTTGGAGCATTTAGATTTTTACTCTGGGGTGAAAAATTTCATAGCCACCAGTGTCTTTCTTCCCCTGCCTGCCCCACTGCCAGCTTCATGCCCTCTGACTCCTGCTTACCCTCTGCACTTTCTAGCAGTGATACGCTTCTTCCCCTTGTTGACTATACTTTTAGCAGGATCAGAACCTTGGAGTGTTCCAAGGTGTCCTTCCTCCATCCAGACCACACCCATGCCACCTTCACCTAATGAAAATATGCTAGTTGTATGTCTCTCTATATAGACATATATATCTTTATTCTCACTTCATTTCCCTTCCTAACTACCCCATTAATCAGGCGAATATTTGCAGCACAGGGCAATTTTGTTGCTATATCTACTTCATATCTTCAGCTATGGATTCACTACTTGATAAAACATATATTGAACTGCTCCAATCACATGGAAACCTCCACGTAATGGAAAGACCCAATCACCGCCCCATTTATTTTAAGCAATAATCAATGTAGCAAAATACCAACCCAACAAATATACTTGGACATTCCTGCCCTTTGAGTTTGAAAAAGAGATGAGTGTAAATGTGCTAAAGGTCAAATCCATTTGTAGCAAACAATTCAAGCTCTTCTAGGCACATTTGTCCTACTATTTTAATACAGCTTATTCTTGAGGAAGCCCTGCTGAGTGCATGTACCAGGTTTCCCTCCTCCCTCTGCATGTGCATTCATTCATTCTTTCACCTTTCACATCTGAATAGTGACACTGTAAAATATAGAAAGAGAATGGCCTTGGGACATCATTCACATCATCCTGTTAACACAGAGCAGGCTTTATAGCTGAGAAATGTGTTTCCTTTGGTGATTTTTTAGATGTGTATAAATGTTCTCAAGGCACAACTACATCAGTTTGGATGCCTTCATTCCCTTGGAGAACTCAAAGGGGCATGTTGTTAATATTCACATGATGGAAATAATAAAAATCTGTTTTCATCACAACCTTGTATGCTTTCACTTTGGTGCTGAAATGGTGGAACAGAGCCATCAGGAGGCATTTTCCTAAATGAAATAGCATAATCTATGAAATTGCTAGAAGTCTCCCAGTCCACCAGGGGTCTGACCTAGATCAGATGGTAGTGGGAAAAATATGATTAAAGTCTTCTTTATACCTGGAAAAGGTTGTTCAAATAGACAAGACCTTGTCCAGCTGAAAATCCTATGGTAAGGGCATCTGGAAGGTGCAGTCCAGGAATATAGTGAGTGGCAGTAGGGAAAATCACAATAAATGGTTTCTACTTTTTCTTGCTGAAATATGATATGGCATGTAAAATTGCTCTCCACATAGTCCTCTAGGGTCTGGAGCCAGATTAGGTAATGATTGGAAATTTCTAGGACTAGGGAAAAGGACAACCAGCTGACTAATCTGTTAATTGTGGGGTCTTAGGATGGGACAGTCTCACAGGTGGCATTAGAATTATCAGACCCCATTGTTTCTTCATTTTTGTCCCTTGGGGTGCCTTGGACAGATATTATAAAGTGAGGTTCTTGAGCTAGCATAGGCAGAAGGCCTCAGTCAAGAGAAAGAAGTATTTTGCAGATCTTGCTCACATTTAGAGTTGTAACTTACAGTTTCTGCACTTGGCCTCCTTATGCTTCTAGTCATTCAAGCTTACAACCTTGGTGTCATCTTGATTCCCACTCAGTTACATCCCTCTTAGTAAATCCATTGCCAATACCTTCCCTATATCTCTGATGTGCATCCTCTCCTCTCCCCTCACATTGCCACAACCCTCGTAAAGGCCTTCAGCACCTCTAATGCGGACTGTTCCAACAGTCTTCTAGCTGGTGTCCTTGATTCAAATCTTCTCCTTTCTAATCAGTCTCCACTGGGCTAAGTGATGTTCCCAAAGCCCAGGTCTAGTCATATCATCCCACTCACTCTTCTCAAAAATCTCCAGTTGTTCCCGATTACCTCTAAGATCAAATATAAAGTACTGTTTGCCATCTAAAGCCCTCCACAATCTGTCCCCTTCCTATCTATCCAGTTTTAATACCTTTTACATACCTCCACACACTCTACAATTCAGTGACATGAGCCTTCTTGCTCCTCCTCACACACAATCTTCTATCTCCCAACTCTGTACCTTTTCAGTAGCTGTCTCTCTCACCTTGAATATTCTCTTTTATTTTCCCTGCCTCCTTCAGAACTCAACTCAAATCCTAGCTTCTGCAGAAACTCTTGGTTCCTCTCACCTTCACTCTCATTCCAGTGCCTTCCTTCTGGAATTCCGTCCCATTTACTCTGTATACATCTTATACTGCATAGTTATTTTCATACTGTCTCCCCCATTAGAATGTGAGCTCTTTGAGGGTACAGACTATGTTTTTGGCATTCTTTGTACTTCTAGCACTCAGCACAGTACGGGGCACATAATAAATGCTTGTTGGCAGAGGTGAAGTGGGAAACTGAATTAAAAAGAGTTAAATAGGAAAGAGATAGTGAGAAAGTAGAGACAATAAGTGCAGACTACTCTTTCTAGGTATGGTTGTCTTTATTATATTTTGTGGACTGATAGAAGTAGAAAAACTATCCTGGGTTCCATGAGATTACAAAAATTTAGTAAGATTAGTGAAAAATTTAATGTTATTTAACTTTTAAAAGCCATTTAAGTAAAAGCTTGTCTAATCTATGTGTGTTGCTACTTGAAAAGCCAAAAGGGAGGGGTCAACATTCACTCAAAGAGGTCAAAAACCCATTGAACAGGTAAAAAAGTTAACTGGGAAGCAGGCATGATCGATTTCAGTACCTGTTCTCCAAGTTGGTTTTTTCTCCTTGTTTCTAGGTTGAGCACTTAACTTCCCCTCTCTTTAATTCAGTATTGACCTTCTCTAATTGGAACAACCAGTCAGTGCCTCCGACTCCTTGCTGACTTCAACTCTCTCTCCCCCATACTCTGCCTCTCCAATTGGTATTGAACTCTTGCTCTGCTTTCCACTGCCAAAATTCTTCTGCCTCCCACTGGCACCTTAATGTTCATTCCCTCTGATACTAGAGTACAGCTGCCACTATCTGAGAATGCAGGTCTAAATGTCTAATCCCTACTATCCCATCAGCCTGACACTCACTAGGTAGCACAGACTAGCAATATAAAGTAGCTAACAAGGTGGCACATACCAGCATTATAAACACATTAATATTCAAAACACCAATCACTTGATCACAATATGCACTTCCTGTGATTTGACACTTTTGATCAAAGAATGATACATTTGGAGTTGGAAGGGGTATCATTTTGCCTAACACTTTCATTTTACATATCAGAAAATGGAGCCCAGAGAGGATGTAAATTGTCAAATGTTCTATCAGTTGTAAGTCCAGAAGTAGGGTTTGATCCTAGATCATCTAAATCTAAATAAAAAAGGCTTTTCCATTGCTCACCATGGGGAAAAAATGATGGATTTAAAGAGCTGGGAACCTTATCATTCTGGCCCTGGAAGGTTCCATATGTTCTGACTTCTCAGAAAGCCTCATGTTTCAGAAGCAAAATTATACCCATAGTTGGTTTCTCTGTTTACATGAGCACACACTCATATACAGTATCCATCCACAGAGGGTACCAATTCATATTAATGCATTCAAATCAGCTGGACAGAATTGTTCATTCAAATGTCAACTAAGTCACTGTAGGCACAATACCACAAACAGAACTTCACTTGTTCATATTGAGCCATGATTCTCATGGGTAACACGCAATCAGAAGACAAAAACTTAGCAAACTTTGTTACATTATCACAGTAATCAAATTCCACAAAGAAAGAAAAGAAAAGCAATGCATGATTTGAGCCAAAGGGTGAACACATATCGTGGAAAAACAAACAAACAAAAACTTACACTTTTGTTGCGCGAAAGCAAATCACTCGTGTTTTTTTCCATGGTAGTATTATATTCAGTAATTCAGATCGTTGCTAGTGGTCTCTATAGCCCTCACTCCAAGCCAATCAAATGCCAAATGACATGCTGAAGAGAAAGCAAAGAAACTCATAATTCAGTAGATGTTTAATTCATGTGATTAGAAATGTTGTCTACAATCTAACTGGTGATTGGACTGTTCACTTAAAAATTATAACAAGAAGTTAATAGGTGTAATGTATAAAGCTACATAAGGACATGTAAATTATTTTTCTAAAGCTATTTTTGCTAAATACAAGTTCTATATTTCCACAATTATCTCTGTGCCATAAGAAGCAATTTTTGGGGGTAGACATAAAGGCAAATTTGTAAGACACTGCTCAAATTTCAATAAATATATAGGCTATCACTACATACAAATGTTAGCTCTCACTTGTACAATAAGGGAGTCAATGCCTTTTGGCCTAAAACTTAAATACCCATCAAATAAATAGAACAAAATAGTCAGTGCCTGATTTATTAGGTTACAGGGTTTTTTTTTTCTTTCTTATCATTATAGTGGGGGATAAGAGATACAAAGGTTCGATGACATAGGAGATATAGTGCCTTATCTGTAAGCTTTACAGACTTAGAAAAAGCTTCCAGTGCATAGAGTTCTTGTCCAAGTCTTCCCTTAAAGTAGGAGAACACATGGACAAGAATAGCACAAAAGGTGATGGGTTACTTTATGAACCATTGTAGGGAGTCTTTACATTGATGTGACCATAGATCCATAGAATTATTGAAGGATGTGTCCCTGGACACCAGGGACTGTTTTGTCTTTCATCTTTGCATCTCCAGTGACTATTACAGTATTTTTCACTTAGTAAGTATTTAATAATAGGTGCCATCCAAAAAGTTTTTAATAGGATAGAACCCTGGACTGAATCTATTGACATGCAATTTAATGGGAATGAATGAAAAGCCTAACACAGTTTCAAAAATCAATTAGCAAAGATAAAGATAGGAGAGACATAATTATGTAACACTTTGCCTAAACAGAAATCTGTGGATTTTAATAGCAGTACATTCTAAATATGAGTCAATAGTGTGATATGAAAGCAAAAAAAAAAGAATGAATGCAATTTTAGGTTACTTTGAAAGAGGCACAATTTCTAGTAGTAATCATAGTCTTACAATATTCTACCCTAGTCAGACCACATCTGGAATGCTGCATTCAGTTTGGGAGCACAACATTTTAGGAAGAAACTAAGGTAGAGAGCATCCAGAAAAGGGCAAACAATATGACAAAAGGCTTATAGATCTAGACCTTGTAGGTCATCAAGTATAACTTCCTCATTTTACAATTGAAGAGATCAAGGTCTGAAGACTGTAAGCAATTTGCCTAAGAAAAGAAGTGACCAAGAAGAGGAAGCAAGAAGGCAGAGTGAGAGGAAGCATTTTTGACCTTATTCACTTAGCTCACCTCCTTTACAACAATCTAGAAAATATACCAGACTAAATTTTCATCTAGAAAACCAATAAAAAATCACAGTGAGTCATTGTCCCATCCCAAAGTAGCCTAGGAAGACACAGAGGTCTGTGAATACTGGGGTAGGGCCTGCCAAGGAGCAGAACTCAACAGTAGTGGTGGTAAAGACAGGGAGTTTTCCAGTACCCAGGGATGGAAAGGGAACCAAAACAGAGTAACAGGACAAAAACAAACAAAAAAACCCTCACTAGAACAGAAAGTAATCCCAGCACACACCTAAAGTAGTGCTGAGAGCAAGAAAAGGCACCATATGGTATCTCAGTTGTCCATTTCCCGATTATGGATTATAGGTCTAGATCAGAGAGGAGCAATTGTGAGCCATCAGGGCCATCCATAGCTGTATACTGAGCAAAGAACAAATTTGAGAAACATAACTATGAGGCTCTGAGCCCACAAACAAAGCACTGACTCAGTTCCAACTCATAGCCTAGCACATGAGCCCACAATAACTGAGGGAGAAGACCAAGACCAAAGGGGAGCCAAGAATTCAATCACTATGAACCTGCAGAATATTCCAGTTGGACAGCAGTGAGTAAGTACAGCAGTAGTCTATTGGAACTCAACTATACACAAACCAACAGGCGTAAACCTGGAACAAAAATTTGTGAAACTCAGACCAGGAGGACAGTGAATAGAGCTCTTAATGGATCACACCACTTTGGAAAGCACTGAAAACTTCCACAACTCCAGAATAAGCTATGAAAACAGAGGGACATTAAAGGACAGAAGCTCAGGCAGATATCTCCCCAAGAAGTGAGAAGAACCAAACAGTGATATAAAATCCAAAAACAGAAGTAGGTTGAAAGAATGAGAAAGAAAAGTACCTTGACTATAAAGAACTACTATGGTGGTAAGAAAGCTCAAGTAACAAACATGTAAGAAAACAATGACTTGAAAACATCTACAAGCAAAACCTCAAAGAAAAAAATGCAGGTTGGACACATGCCTAACAAGAATTCCTTGAAGTATTAAAAGGATTAAAAAGAACAGAAATATTTTAAAAAGAAAATGCAAATAAATGGTAGAAAAAATGGAAAAGAAATGTGAGCCATGCAAAAAGGTTAGGAAAAGAGAATTGATAGCTTCGTAAAATAAGCACAAAATATTTCTGAAGAAAATAACTCCATACAAATTAGAATTGGCCAAATGGAAGCTAATTACTCCATGAGGCATTGATAAATAATGAAAAAAGTCAAAAGACTGAAAAAATAGAAGAAAATGTAAAATACCCTGATAAGAAAAATGACTTGTAAACTTCTTGAGGGCAAAGACTTGAGGGCTTCTTTATGTGTCCCCAATAATTAGCACAGTGCATAGCACAAAGTAGGTACCTAATATATGTTTATTGATTGACAGATTAGTTGAAAATAGATTGAGGACAGATGATTTAAGAACCACTGGACAAAAAAAGCCTAGATAACACATTTAAAAATATAATAAAGGAAAACCACCAAAATATCTTACAACAAGATGGCATAGTAAAAATGGAAAGATTCCATCAGTCATCTCCTGAAAGAAATTCCAAAATGAAAGCTCTCAGGAATACCACAATCAAAATATGGAACTCTCAAGGTCAAGGAGTAAATATTGAAAGCAGCCAAAAACAAGCAATTCGAGTACTGTGGAACCAGGTACTGTACAGTCAGGTTCATATAAGATTTAGTAGCTACCACAGTAAAGGAACAGAAAGCTGCAAATATGATATTCTGTGCAGGCAGATGATCGAGAATTACTGACAACCTACCTAGAAAAAACTAAATTAATCCTCCTGGGTGAAAAATGGGCAATTAATGAAATAGAGGTCTTTCAAACATCCCTGTTGAATAGACTAGAGCAGAATTTTTAAAATGACATATAAACACAGGTCTCAAGAGAAGTACAAAAACGCAAATATGAGTGAGAAATCATAATGTATCAAACAAAGTTAAATGGTTTGAATTCTTATAACAAGAGATGACATATGCAACTCTCAAGAACTTTAAATCACCAGAGGTTTTGGAGGGGTCTAATTAGACAGAGGGCCTAGGAACTATTCTATTATGTTTGGATAATCTCAAATGAAGCATGGAGGTATGAAGACAAGGAATATGTAGGAAGAGAAGGAGAAGAATATGGGAGAAATCATCTCACATAAATGGGATGAGCAAGGAAGAGTTATGCAATCAAGGGGGCAACACTTAAACCTCACTCTTATCTAAACTGGTTCAAGGAGGGAAGAACACATATACACACTTATACATGCACATTTTGGTACAGAAACTTACTCAACTTACCCAACAGGGAAGTAGGAAGCAAAGGAGTTAAGAAAAAGGTCAGGGGGGATAAAGGAAGAGTAAAGGACATGATGGTAGTGGACAGAAGAAAAACACTTAAAGTTGGCAGGGTAAAGAAAGAGAAGGAAAGGTAAAAGAAAATAGGATGAAGGAAAATAGTGAGTTAGTGTGAATGTGAATGGCATGAAGTCATTCATAAAACAGAATAGAATAACAGATTAGATTAAAAACCACAAACCAACAATATGTTGTTTACAAGAAACACACCTGAAACAGAAAGAAACACATAGTGTTAAAATAAAGGCCTAGAGCAGAATCTATTATACATCAGCTGAAATAAAAAAAGCAGGGGTAGTAATAAGAGTCTCAGAAAAAAATCAAAAGCAAAGATAAACTCAATTAAAAGAAGTAAACAGGGAAAACTATATTTTTGATAGAAGTCACCACAGATAATGAATTAATATAATCCTGAACATATATGTACCAAATGGCATAGTATCTAAATTCTTAAAGGAAAAGTTAAATGAGATATAGGAGGAAATTGTTATTAAGATTATAATATTGGGGAACCTCAGTTTACCCCCTTTCAGACCTAGATAAATCCAACTATAAAATAAACAAGAAAGAAGTGAAGGAAATGAAATTTTTTTTGGAAAAGTAAGATATAAATGGTAAGAGAAAGGAGTTTGTGGCACCTTCACAAAAAGTGATCATTTTATTAAGGTATAAAAACCTCAGAAATTCAGGAAAGCAGAAATATCAAATGAATTTTTCTAATCATAATGCAATAAAAATACATTCAACAAAACACCTTTGAAGCAAAAATTAAAGTTAATTGAAAAAGAGAAATAGAGAAGGAAAGAAGGAAGGAAGGAAGGACAGATCAATGAATTGAACATGCAACTAAAAAAAGAAAAAAAACTAGAAAAAAACTAACACTCCCCCCTCAATTAAATACCAAAACAGAAATCCTGAAAATCTGAGGATTTTAAACAAAAATGTTTAGAAAATTAACTAATAAGTTAAACTAAGAACTGTCTTTTTTAAAGATGAAGAACAACAAAACAGATAGCCATCTAACTAATTTGATGTTAAAGAAGAAAGTGAAGTTATCAATATGAATAAAACCAACAATCATAATAAAATGGATGTATTTTTTAAACTTTTTTTGGTGAAACAATTGGGGTTAAGTGACTTGTCTAGGGTTACACAGCTATTAAATGTAAAGTGTCTAAGGCCAAATTTGAACTCAGGTCCTCTTGACTCCAAGGCTGGAGCTCTATCCACTGTGCCACCTAGCTGCC